TCCGCCACTCGGTGCCAACTTGTCATTGGGCTGCTGTGCTACGGCTCGGCTATAGGGCCCAGAAGTAAGGTGCGACGAGTTGGCGGCCCAAGACTGCTGCCACATGCTCGGCCAACAAAAGGAGGGAGAAAGTTGGCCTTCTCAGCCGGTTCCCAGGCATTATCTAAAAAAGAAAGCCGGTTCCCAGGTAGTATCTCAAAAAAAAGTCGGTTTCCCAAGCATCAAGAGAGAAAACGTGCGGTAGGGTTGGCCTAGAAAAGAACAGAGGGAGGGAGAGATAAAAGAATATTCTTTCCTTATATTTCAAAGCCATCAAGCAACTAAAAAATAAACAATTTAATTTCAAACCCAAAACAAACATTACAAAAATAAATATGTAGAAGCATGAATGGTACACCATGTTCCTATGACCTGTATTTGATTTTGCTTTTTTAGTTTGTCATTATTGCAGGTTCAAGTGCACGGTTAAATCAAATTTAACATATTCCTGAAAATGCAAAATTTAGGTTGTTCCAGAGTTGGGTACAACAAGGTAGAAGAAAGGGTGTTATAGAGCTAGGTACTTCGATTTTCAATGAATAAGGGAGTATATGGTACTAATATGCAAATAACCATATGAAGCATTGCCATTAACATCCATGGTACAAGCAGTAGTAAGTGGAAGGTTTCTAGATATAGAGCTGGGTACTTCGATTTTCAACGAATAAGGGAGTATATGGTACTAATATGCAAATAACCATATGAAGCATTGCCATTAACATCCATGGTACAAGCAGTAGTAAGTGGAAGGTTTCCAGATCAAATATCAATACATTTTCGAGTCATGGAAATAATAACCCATACTATAACTAACATGGTACCACTCGCATATATTAAAAGATAGTTCAATTGGATTTATTTAATTACTTACAAGAACTCACATGGATAGCCAGCGTTGGCGTTAGCTATGTAAAAACTTATCCACAATAGCAATTGCAGGAGAACTCACATCGCGTTCCCATGATATGTCCTCCGTACTATGGTCTCCTCCACTTAGATGGCAGCGTATGGCTTCTGTAGAGTCCATCACACACACAGGCCAGCCCCAAACACCAGCGATATGGCGAATCTTTGTAGTATGTGATTTTGCAAGGGCTTTTGTATTTGCTTTCATCTCATCTATGGAATCAGAAAGACTCATGCCTCCACCAAAATATTTGCTTAGTTCTCGCACACCAATTGCCTTAGCCAGCCCAGTGTGGTTACCAATCTTATGAGCCAGCATAGTATCAAAATACTCTTTTAGTTCCTCAATTAAGCTAGAAGCAACCATATCATCAATACGGCGACACAGATACTCATTAAGAACTAGCTCATGAGTATGGACCCAAAGTAGACAACTTTTGAACCTTAAATTTGGCTTATACTTTGCTATCAAAAAAGGATTGGCAAGGGAGGGATCAAGGTGGTTAGCAAGAAATCCATGCATAAGTGAGTTTGACCCATACCAGAACTGGAACTCGACCACACCTTGCAATAGACTCCGCAGTAGTTGTTGCAATAGATCGAAAGGAAGGTACAGACACATCATCCGCAATTGATGAAATAACCCCAATTAAGTGATGAGGAATACCACCTTGATCATTTGGCCAGATCTTGTTAGTTGCGATGTCAAGACCAGCATACATTTGCATCTTGTTTGCATTTATCACTTCACCACCAATCACCTTGGATATGTCAATTGATAACTTTGTCTTGCCTGTGCCAGTGGCACCCATGATTACCACCGGTTTAATCGACAACATCTATGAGATGTAGTTTGATCCTACAGAGGTGAGGGGGGATGGGGTGGAGTGGTAGAGGGGAAAGTGCTTCTTTCCCTTTAAACCCTAGGTCAACCAGCCCATGTATATGAAGAGTCGATGGTGTAGTTGGGCAAGAAGAGGGGATGGGGGTAAGTGCTGTGAGCGTTGGTAACCTAGGTCTGGCAAACTAAACAATGTACACTAGCAGGCATTCCTATAACTACTTATGTACTACCATGGATACACTTTGTAGAAAAACTTAATTATGCACATGTATGTAGTAACGTAATGCAAAGATGTATGAGTACAATATAATATGTATCATATGTATGTGGACAAATCCATAGGTCCACAGGTGTGGCAAATGGAAGGAGCTTCCTCTAGACAATCAAAGAAGAGGCAACCCGACAAAGGAGAAGCTGAAGTGTCAGGTGCCTGCACATATTTCTTTACTTTTCCATCCTCTCATGTATTTGTGCAAAAGTCATGTTCTACCTATAATCAGTTCGAGGACGTCATGACCATCTCCTTTCCATTTTTTCATACTCTTGCTTGCTAGATCTCTTGTTATCATCTCTAATTGTAGGTTACTTTGCTCCATTCTGATGATTTCATTCTTTGGACATTTAAGGGACATGCTCCATTGTAGGTAACATTGTGCCTAGTTTTGTTGTCTTTGTGTGCTCATGTTATGCCTACCACTATTTTGGCACGCTCCCACATAACCTGCACAAAGGCACGCGCATGCCCGTGAATAATGGAGAATGACCCTTAACTAGGCAACAACTACTGCCACAGTGTTACCTCACCATCGTTCATGTCATGTGTGCCTACCATTGTTTAGGCATGCATCCACAGGAATTACGCAAAGGCACCCGCATGCCCAAAAATAATGGAGAATGCCCTTGAAGTGCCCAACAACTACTGCCACAATGTCACCTCACCACCGCCCTTGGCACTACACGACATCACCCATGTCGACGCCACAGATGCTCGCATTAAATGTGGTCTTGCGCTGCTGGATACAACTCCATCCTTCTAGCTATAAAATTTGGTACCTCAGAGGTCTTCCATATCTCAAGAGGTAACACATCCTAGCTCAACTTCCTTCCCATCGAGTATCATCCCTCTCTCCCCATTTCTCTGCTCTCCTATAGGAATCTCAGCGGCTACGGCGGCCTTCCTCTTCGCCGGTGTCCTTAGCAAGGTGAGAAAACCATGACCATCTTTATGAAATCTTACCCTCTCCTATATATTACAAAAATGACTTACCCTCCTTTTCCTTGCAGATGGCAGATGAAGAGTGGACCACTAGCTACTGCTTGAACAAAGATGGTTTTCCCAAGCTCCTATATGCCACCATGTCCAGGATAGGTCTTTTGGATCACCCAGAGTATGTAGGTAGAGAATATGAGGAGTATGGCACAAAGCGGTGCGAGGTCATCATCTATGTTGGAGGAAGTAAAGATTTCCCCAACATAGGGTCGTGGGTGGTTTCTACTATATGGTTTTGGTTCGAGGACACTTATCAATCTGTCGCTCACAAAGCTTTGAGGTACCTATGCCAGATTTATGAGAGGCCAATATGTCATACGTCCATGAGATTCTTCCCCCCTTTAACAAGAGACAGTCCTGTGTGGGTAGCCCGAATGAGGACCCTCGAAGGCCCTGAATTACATGAAAGTGACCCAACTATGGTGTTCATATCTACCTACCTGCTTTCCCTAGATAAGCAATATGACAAGCATGACACCCATTTGAAGAAGTGCATTCATAGGGCAGAGGAGGCCGAGAACCAAATAAGAAACCTACAAGTGCGACTGCTTTGAGGCTAAGGCGAGGTGAAAGCTACTAGCGGAGAGCCGTGATGCTACAACAATTGAAGCCTTCAAACAGCCAAGACCGCCACACTCTGCAATTGAAGAATATCTACCTTGTCACTAGGGCCAAGAGAAGGACGCTCATTCGGAAGGAGAGAATGCCTAATACTAGATGGAATCCCGGTTGCAACCATGGAAGAAATCCAAGGAAGATTGTGGACACGCGCCTTGGCCGCCTCCACCAACCGAGGCCTTCCATGGAATTTCGAGACAGGTCCATGTAATCGATGGAGAAGAGATTCATTGTAAACCCGACTCAGGACTACGGCACTCTAACTATATCGATGGAGAAGAGCACTCACCGAGAGGCACCACCAGGAGATGGCGTCTGCCCTCCTTCCATCCTCCTAGAAGATTTCTCAAGCTACGAAGAATGATCTAAGTGGACACATGGGGCCCTCAAGAACCCTCATTGTAGTGTTTATTATTTCCACCAATAATGTAATCCCACATGGTGTTGTGCTTTGAGTTTAGTGATGTTGGTTGTTTGAATTCCACTTGAGCAAATATTTCTCTACGCCAATATACCATTTCTCTACACCAATATGCCACTGATTTTATTTAGTGACCTAGAATAGGTATTGTGTAATGGATGCCAAACTCTATCGCCCTTACATAACACCATACTGGAAAATACATATTAGCTTTTATTGAGATATTTTTTAGTACAACATGCATATGATCCTTAAGATTTGATATATACCAAGAAGATCATCTTCCATAACATGGTAGTGGAAAAAATTAATTAGCTATAGCTTCTATTAAGATACTTTCGAGTAACACGTATACATGATCCCAAGGTTTGATACAAGCAGATCACCCGCAGCAGTGAAGCGCCGGCACAGTGGCTAGTTAAATTGAAAGGCAAGCATACCAGTGCTAGAATCCACCGTCGATCCGACGCCTCAAGTGTATCCATCTCTCTCATAAATATATCTCTGTACATTGATAGGCGCTACTGCAAAAATCCACCGGCATCGGTCTATCGCCGGTACTGTTAACCGGCGGTGATCTCGCACCGGATCGGATGAGGACACTGACGACGATGACCCCATTAATTCCAACTTCCAGGCGGTCTGGAGAGACAGACACGTCGTGCGTACTGTACGTGCATGCAATCGCGCGCCAACACGATGCTCCGACACCGAGTCCCACCACACCACCCATTGACGCTTCCCCGCCCAACCCCTGCATCTGGACCTGCGCTCGCGGACGCCCAACGCGACCAATCAACCCTCACGTTCCTCCTATACATCGGCCCGCTGATCCCGCTACCTTAACTTGCTATATTTTCACAGGCACCACACACTAGAGAGAGAACGAGAGCGCGCCATATATGGGTCAGGAGGCCGTGGCAGCGAACGGCACCGCCTCCACCGCCGGCGGCGGCCGCGCCAGGCCGCACGCCGTGGTGATGCCGTACCCGCTGCAGGGCCACGTCATCCCGGCGGTGCACCTGGCGCTGCGGCTGGCGGAGCGCGGGTTCGCGGTCACCTTCGTCAACACGGAGTCCGTGCACCACCAGATCGGCGCCGGCGGCGACATCTTCGCCGCCGTGCGGGGGCGCGCGGGAGCGACGACGTCGACGACGACGGAGGACGGCGACCACCAGCAGGAGCTGGACGTGCGGTACGAGCTGGTGAGCGACGGCTTCCCGCTGGGCTTCGACCGCTCGCTGAACCACGACCAGTTCATGGAGGGCGTCCTGCACGTGCTCCCGGCCCACGTCGAGGAGCTCCTCCGCCGCGTCGTCGTGGACCCGGCCACCACGCCTCGTCGTCGACACCTTCTTCGTGTGGCCGGCCAAGCTGGCGCGGAAGCTGGGCGTCCCGTACGTGTCCTTCTGGACGGAGCCGGCGCTCATCTTCAACCTCTACTACCACATGGACCTGCTCACCAAGCACGGTCACTTCAAATGCAAAGGTAACTGAGCTAAACTGATGAGATGATGCTATAATTAACCTCGTTGATCTCGACCTCGATCTCTACCGCATATGTCGTCTAAAATTAAGCCTCATCATTTGGTACTAGTGAAGTTGAAGCTGTTTTGATTAAAAAAAAAGAACGTTTGAACTTGTATTATCGTGAATGGCTGAGACAAAGAGGACAAATGTCCAGATAGCTAGTACAAGCTTGGGAGTGTTTGGCTGCTATTATAAGCCGGTTTATAAGATATGATATAGTATTTTTCTCTCCCAATAAATCAATCATATAAATCAGCACAAGCGGCTTTATGAGCAGCCGAACAGAGCCTTGGTTTTTTCAGCTGCACGTGCGAGCCACTCCTTTGTGAGAACACCTTTTTAGAGCTTCACGCAAGGAGCCGATAAAGTTTTATCCATTGGCGGAAAAAAGGTGTGTTGAACTACTTAAGAAGCTGGAGAAAAATCTATACCAAACAAAATCTAAATTAGCACCATGTCTACATACAAGTATAATCATCAACCAAGTTGGACAAGCCAAGCATCTCTGTATCATTCCAGTACTAGTTGGTATATCCGGCGAAGAAGAGTCTCCATCCCGTACTAGCCTCCAAGCCGGTCATTCTAGCCAACGTCAAGTAGCATACTCCTTTGATGTTCGATTTCAAGAACTTGTTAAATCATATACTATATTAAATTTAAGTTTATGTAATTTAAATATACTTATAGCCAATATTACGTGCATATATCATATATAATTATTTATATAACTAGTACTCCCTCCGTTCCGTTCCATTATGAGTCGTTTTGACTTTTTTTGTATATTTATTTTGCCATGCATCTATATACAATAATATGTCTAGATACGTAGTAAAATTGATAAACTGAAAAAAATCAAAACAACTTATAATTTAGAACGGATGGAGTACTACTTTAGTAACGCTTGAAACGGTATAAGGGCATATAGGTTTGAAAAAAAAAAAACCAAAACGGTCACTAAAATGGTGTCCTTTAAAAAGAAGAACTCTGAAACTAAAAACAAAATAATGCTATCTGGAATATGTTCCAGCACTGGTGCTAAGGCATGTGCAACCCTTTCATTATCTAGGTTTACATTTACATAATAAATAGTTTGAGGACAAAGCCACTGGACTGAACAGAGGCCGACGATATGAAACGCATGACGAGAGCAACCCCAACCAGTAGGTGGAAGACATGGACCGCTGCCTCCATTCTCCAATCTGGGCAGTTCCTGCCAAAAACCGATTCACGACCTGCACTGCATGCTCCACGCAATTGGACGACCAGGACTCCAGGAGTGGCGCAGATCCACCCGGTCGCCATGTGGGCCACATACTGATGCCTCCTTGGGTTTGTATTCTTCAGAACCATCCTATCTCACTGTCGGCTCACTGTCGGCACGTCGCTAGCCGCCGGTCGCCCAGGGCGCCGAGCATTATTACAGGTACAGTGCACATCAGCGTCTAGGAGACTGAAACGTTTGCTTGCCGGTCACTACTCACTAATCTGTTTCGGACGATCCATGCAAACAGTCCGTTTGAGATTGCTTAGCCTTCCGTCCTAATGAGACTCGAACCCCTTGGATTTGGTGGTATTTTTTGAACGTTGCATGCACGTCTAACAAATCACTCGATTCACTATATTCATTCTTTTGATAGTTGATAACACGACCATTTAATACCATGTGTGTATCTCTGTTTTCAACTGTCTCTTTGTCATCCAATCCTATCGCTCGCTTTAGCCAGTTCGTCACCACCCTTGGCCTTATCAGGCATCTTTAAGGGCACTCAACCTAGAAACTATTCTCTCGGTCCTATAATACAAGGTATCAAAAAAAGTATAAGACAGATAGATTGTGGAGCAAAACAAATGGCGCATGTAACCTTCCTTTAACTGTAGAGTAATCTTGTGCTTACTGTATTTTGAGTCTGCTGGTATACATTAATGACAAGTACACATATTATTGGTACTTTTGGGAGTTAATTCACCTCAAATACCTTATAATTTGAGACAAATTTTGAAGGTTTCAATACCTTATATTTTTGGATAAAATGAAGTAGATGGTTTCTACGTTCTTTAATTAGGATTTCAACTAAACAAAATGATGATGTGGCATTAGAATCAAAGAAGAGAGGAGGAAATGGTTTCTTCGGTAAGAGACCAGGTCTACACAGAAGCCAAGATATGAAAAGATGTGATAGATGATGGAAAAAGAAGACATGTGATTGGACAAAAATTTATTTGAAAAAAATATCCATTGGAAATATAGTTTCTATTTGTAGTGTCCACCTGATCTGGCAAGCATAGAAATCACCTCATAGTTTGTGGTTTGAGACTGCCTTTAATGATATATAGTCTCAACCGGCGTGGAATGAAGAGAAAGCTAGAAAACCTCAACGTGCTAACAGATGAATTGCTAGACCATTTATGAATCCCAATGCATACCCTAGTCCACCAAGTGGAAACACCTGGTCCATGCCACTCGACGTGGCACAAGGCAGCCAGCAATCTCAGCATCAGAGGGGGGTCAGTATAATGATGTTGTCCATTTTCTGCCCCAATGATGAGAGCTTGTTGGCTTTGCTTCCTCCTTCACCCTCGCCCCTCTTCCAAGTTCCAACCAAGGTGAGGAAGATGATGAACGACTTGACAAAGACAGAGCATATGATCTCCCTGATAGGGGACAAGAGTGTGAGAATCTAAAACGTTTGTGGCATCCAAACGTACTTGAAGTGGCATATAAACGGTAGCAACGACCTCTTATCAAAGTGGCATATAAGAGTAAGGCCCCGTTTAGTAGGGATTCAAGGGCAGCTTCAAGAGCTGTTTTCAGCTTCATTCACCAAACGGGCCACCGCCGAACTGCTTCAGGATGAATCTCCGGATTGTGCACTGAGACAAGCGAGGAGAGAGAAGAGAAGCTGAAAAAACTGGCTTCAACCAACTTCACCTCTGCACTGGTGGGGCCTTGTGTACCCGTGGTCAGCTTTGCCCCCGCGAAGCCTTCGCGCGGGCATGGCCGGGGCTGGGAGGGATGGTGCCGCGGTAGGCGCGGGGAGGGACAGGCAGCGCTGCAGGAACGCGCATGGAGGCGGCGCCTCGCCGGTGCAACCTCGCCGGGCGGGGACGGACTCGCTGGAGCGCCGGGGTGGAGCCGTCGTGGTGCCCTTTGCGCGCAGCTCGAGCGCCGGCGGGTGGCGCGGGCGAGCGTGGGGCTCCGGCGTGGATGAGCTCTGATCCGTGCAGGGGCTGGGGTGAGCTAGACGACGCGGGGGCGGGGGCGGTGCCGGAGGCGAGTAGGACGGGGCTCTCTGCGGGATGAGCTCGGAGCTCCTTGCGAGAGGGCCAGCTGAATGGATAAGGAAGAGATGGAGGAGGTAAAAACATAGAAAAAGGGCATTTTTGGTCATTTCGTACTTTTATGCACTAGGAGAGGCCGTTTGGTCATTTACCAAACGGTTAATCAAAATAGATTTAACTCTAAAAAAAACTACTTTTAGAGCTAAAACTAACAAAAGCTGCTCGTTGTACCAAATAAGTCCTAAAAGGTAGCAACCGCTTTTATCATAGAAGATGCTCAATGGCACTTCTGACCTATGCACCGCGATAGAGCTACAAAACCTACAATCCGAGCCTACTAGAGCTCAATCTCTACAGCCTACTTAGCTTGGTACCATAATTAATGATATGTGTTATATAAATATGGTTAAACTTTAAATGATTTGAGTATGGATAAAACTATTATAATAATAGTTGTCATATGGGCTTAAGGGAGGTATAGTACTTAGAGTTTTTCTATCATAAAACTAAGAGTTCTGTATATATAACAGCAAGAATGCCATAGGAATATGGGCTAGGAATGCCATCAAAACTAATAATTGTCATATGGAGTAGCAGACAAGAAGTGGAATGTCAAACTTTAAATGTTGTCATATATACCATAAATCATTTTCAGAGGAAGGTATAGTGCTGTACAATAGAAGCTGAGGTATACACGTTGATATCATCTTCCTTTCCATTATTCTTTTGTGTCAAAATGTTTAGGCCGTCTATCGTCTAGCTACTCCTATAACTAACGGCGTGGCTAACGCCTAGATGTCCGGACGGATGCTCGCGTCCGGACACCCTCCTTCTCTCTGTCATCTTCTTCCCTGCGCCCTTCTTCCTCCCGTGACTGCCCCTCCCCCACCCTCCACCGTCCGGGGCCCCTTCGCCCCTCTTCCTCCCTGCATGACGGCGTTCATCTTCCTCCTCGCCCACCGCCCACTGTCCCTCCGCAGCGCGGTAGGGTATCGAGCCTACCGCACCTGCGGCGGCCTCCTTCTTCCCCTTCCCCCTCCCGCTGCCGCCATGGCCATGGGACGCCCCCGCCTTGACGGCCGCCTGGACCCTAACGCCGCCTCCCGCCATACCCACCACCTGGCCGGCCTACCTCCCCGCAAAACCCCTTCTAAGCTCACCAGAGTTGGAGAAGAAGAGGAGAGGCCGGAGAGGGAGGCCGCCGCCGTCGTCGTTGGAACCCTAACCGCCGCCTCCGTCGTCTTTGTCTCCGATGGGGCATGGGTGTGGGCGCGGAGTCGCATGGGAGCGGCGGCACGCGAAGGTGGCGTCTGGACGCGGGCCCGAGTTACATCATTACCTGGTAGTACGTGCATTCATCTATACAATACTCCCCGTAGTCAATAATAAGGGCGGGCGGTTTTTTGTGCCATATATCATCAAACCTTGTACATACTGCTTGTCTGCTACTCCGATATTATACTGCTCTGAACAAAAAATAGGATAGGAGTAGGAGTAATGAACATGGAGAACCAAACCAGAAGGCCGCCGGCCGGCGCCCGGCGGCTAACGCGACAGCGACGGATTTATAAGTAACGTACGCACGTTAGGTGATCTAATGCCGCTGTTGACGACCACCGGTACCGGGGACCGGGTCTCTTTGCGGCGACTTGATGCACACTAGTGAATCAACTGCACTGAAATCGAGCATCGCCTGACCACCAGAGTGCGCTCCCTACTTCCCTAGTCGCTACGCTAGGACGACGTACGAAATGGCGCAAGGGGCCGCCGGCGTAGTAGAGACGGCGAGGCATGGCGGCGGCAAGCCGCACGCGGTGGTGGTGACGTACCCGCTGCAGGGCCACATCATCCCCGTGGTGCACCTGGCGCTGCGTCTCGCGGCGCGGGGGTTCGCCGTCACCTTCGTCAGCACGGAGGCCGTGCACCACCAGACGGCGCCCGCGCTGGGCGTCGACCCGGACGGGTACGACCCCTTCGCGGCCGCGCGGGCACGACAGGAGGGGCTGCTGCTGGGCGACGACGTGTCGTACGAGCTGGTGAGCGACGGCCTCCCCGTGGGGTTCGACCGGTCGCTGCACCACGACGACTTCATGGGCGCGCTGTTCCACGCGCTGGCCGCGCACGTCGAGCAGCTGCTCCGCCGCGTCGTCGTGGACCCGGGCGCCACGTTCCTGGTCGCCGACACCTTCGTGTGGCCCGCCACGCTGGCCAGGCGCCTCGGCGTCGCGTACGTCTCGTTCTGGACCGAACCGGCGCTCATCTTCAACCTCTACTATCACATCGACTTGCTCACCCAGAACGGCCACTTTAGATGCAGCGGTAACATTCTTTTCTCTTGGAAAAAAAATAATGTCCGTTCCTTCATGCATGCATCATCTGCAGAGCCTCGCAAGGACACGATCACCTACATCCCGGGCGTGGCGTCCATCGAGCCGAGCGAGCTCATGTCTTACCTGCAGGAGACGGACACCACCTCCGTGGTGCACCGCATCATCTTCAAGGCGTTCGACGAGGCCCGCGGCGCCGACTACGTCCTGTGCAACACCGTGGAGGAGCTGGAGCTGTCCACCATCGCCGCGCTGCGCGCCGACAGGCCCTTCTACGCCGTGGGCCCCATCTTCCCGGCGGGGTTCGCGCGCAGCGCCGTGGCCACGTCCATGTGGGTTGAGTCCGACTGCTCCCGGTGGCTGGACGCGCAGCCGCCCGGCTCCGTGCTCTACATCTCCTTCGGCAGCTACGCGCACGTGACCAAGCAGGAGCTGCACGAGATCGCGGGCGGCGTGCTGGCCAGCGGCGCCCGCTTCCTGTGGGTGATGCGCCCGGACATCGTCAGCTCCGACGACCCGGACCCGCTGCCCGAGGGGTTCGCCGGCGCCGCGGCGGGGCGGGGGCTCGTGGTCCCGTGGTGCTGCCAGGTGGAGGTGCTCTCCCACGCCGCCGTCGGCGGCTTCCTCACGCACTGTGGCTGGAACTCCATCCTGGAGAGCGCGTGGGCGGGCGTGCCCATGCTGTGCTTCCCGCTGCTCACGGACCAGATCACCAACCGGCGCCTCGTCGTGCGGGAGTGGCGCGCCGGCGTGTCCATCGGGGACCGCGGCGCGGTGCGCGCCGACGAGGTGAAGGCGCGGATCAAGGGGTGATGGGCGGGGAAGACGGCGTCAAGCTCAGGGAGCAGGTGAAGAAGCTGAGGGGCACACTCGAGGCTGCCATGGCGCCCGGTGGCTCGTCGCGGCGTAGCTTCGACGAGTTCGTGGACGAGCTCAAGCGCCGGTGTGGAGGCAGCCACTGATCCGAAGCTCGCGGACAGGAGCTGAGGTGGCCTCAGAATACGTGGGCGATGTAGGCCTTGTATTGTAGCGTCAGCGTGTACTGTGTCACGTAAACTGGCTTGATCGAAGCGTGTATGTATGCCGTGTACTGGTGGGACATTATTGTTGTGCAGGCTTGAGATGTGATATCTGTTATAACACATGTTGCCAGCTAGTAGCATCATTCTCTTTTCGTCTCTTATGATCAATATAGTAGATAAAAATAGAAGAACAAATAATCATAAGATAGGAGACTATTCTTTATTGCTTTGAATATTCGTGATTACAATATAGATCTCTCACATATATATAGTTCTACCAAGGTCTAAGAGTTTGGTAAGAGCCCACATATAAACGGACTAGGATTGGAATTTTACCTTCTCCTTTCTTTCTAGGTTAGAGTCCGTATGTTTTACAACACTCTCTCTTGGGTGATTACCACGATATGCACATGCCTCATTAAAAACTCCATCCGAAAACCCAAGGGGAAAAAATAGTTCTTGGAGAAAAGAGTACATCGCATTCGTTAATTGTATTGCACATGTTGTCTCATTAAAAATCTTACGTGAGAAACCTTCAAGTAAAAACTCACATAGAAAAAAAGAATACAACATTTAACCTTCTTGGTCATGTATTCTTTATGATATTCTATTCTTCATGAATAGATATTTATCTTCATGATCTATGCATAAACTTCAATGTTTTAGCAAATATGATATATATGATCTTTATAATTCTAGTGGTTTATTTATCTTCAAGATAGATTTACTCAAATTGCTCCCCCTCATAAAGCTATCCTTTGAACTTCATTATTCAGTCCACACTTTTCTCATAAATGCGTGCTTAATAATGGTATGCAATACCATAATACCAAAATATTGGCTTACCATTCTTCAATGAATTATAATATGGGTAAATAAGAGCAATATGCTTCATGCATAAATAACCACTTATTAGCTATGCAAAACAAATAAAATTTATCCTTCAGAGTAATAAATCCTTTCAAAAGATTATGGGGGTAAATAAGTTACAATATTCAATATCTTCTAGATAGTGTATTAAACTTATACTAGAGTTTGAATACTTATAATTCTTCCTTAGTGAATTTTTAAATTATATGTTCTTCAAATCTTAATGATTTTAATTGTACTATTAAATAATAAATCCATTCATAGTTGGCATTTAGAGGATAATTTAATTGCCAAAATCACCATTATTCTTATATCTTCTATGGTATTTAGAGGATATCAACACTTCATTTGCTAGCTTTTGATATACACTTTGTGAATGTTTATATGACACCTTTATGGTGTTCAAGATTCCTCGTTTTCTATCTTTCGGGTCTATATTCATTTTAAGGATCAATTGTGTTTATTCAAGAATCGACTGGTAAATTCTTCTTGGATTAGTTCCTTTAAGAATATTCTTATTTTCGGTGAATTATATTTCTCTTCCACGAGATATATTATCTACTGCATGAGAGATTATTCTGAGGTATACACAATGAGATAATGTTATTCACTATAAAGTCATTCGATGACTCTATTCCTTCTAGGACATGCTCTATTTGAGACTTCAATATTCATGCAGGAATATATATTCTACCTTAGACTTTTTAATACTTAGTATGAGATTTAATTTTCATATGTTGTGATTTCTATTGTTCAGGAACTATATGGATTTTCAGAATCCACTTACTAACTACATTATTTCATATTCATTCATTTCTTTTGGAAGAGATATAGCAGAACATTTATTTCCTCATAGTAGGAGATTCAACCTCAATTGCTTTCTTCATTAATCCGATATAATCGCTACAAACGACTTTGCCATGGACTTTGTTTTTCGGATTCGGGTTCTCATAAGAGAAACATTTGCAATTATAGAGCTAGCGTTGTCGACAACTATTATTTTCTCTCAATATTCTCATAATATGAGATTATTCTATCTCTTTGTTATTTCCCAAATAAGAGATAATTTGTTGTTCTGCATACCCAACACTAATGATGCCCGCGCTTAGTGTGTTGGATTTTATCTTCATGATGATCCTCTTAATGAGGTGCTTAACCTTCTTCATGAGAATGGAGGAGTTTCATTTTATTTTTATTCAACAAGTATACACTAAACTAGAACCCACAGACGTCTCCGTAGATTTTAGCTTGATAGTATATAATATTTTGTTTACTACTAGTAAACACAACTTTTGATTTATAACTTCAAGTTACTCCTCTCAAATTTTCAAAAATATCTGGCATATGCTCCGCTTCATGCTTCACAAGAGTAATAGTCAAACTATTGTTTGAATTAGTGCATGATACTATTCATGCTTCAAGCTTCAAAAATATTTCTCTTAAGATCATTTTTCTTCAGTGGAAATAATATTTGGCATTCAAAATAGGCTTTCTCTGCCCCTACTTCCAATATTATTAGATTTTTAATAGCATACTTCAAAAGATATCATCTATCATGGGCTAAAAAATCAAATTCATGTATCTCCAACTACAAGTGAAGGCCCATGCATGTATGGTATGATAGAGATTTATAGAAATATTAATGCACATATTTAAACTCAGGGGTTTTATTCATTAATGTAGCAAGCTAGAATACATAAAGTGCACTTAAGAATGTTCAACATTCCTACAAACTTAGGGATGTTCTTCCTCTAAATTGCACATATCATAGTTTAGAAAACTATTTCATTGTCTAGCTTCTTTATTGTTTAGCCAAAATAATTGATCAAGTACTCATACATAAAAAAATGACCATATACTTCAAAAAGATATACAATTTGCAACATTCAAACTCACATAAAATTTTTTTAGACTTTCTAATTGCCATTAATATAAAATTACCCATATGTCTTTTCTCCCAAATCATCATAAGTGTGTTATCCACCATATTAATTCCACAATTATCCGTCTCCCATCAATTGGGTTAGTCTTCATTTAGCTAATTTCAGATTAACCAACTTCCCCTGATCTTAGGCTATTTGGCCATGGACCAATATAATGCTTATGCATGCAGCACATTGAAAGCAAAATATTCCTTAGTTCAACAAGAACTAGCGTGCTAGCTAGTCAATTTAATTATAAGGCGAAAAGGTAGTAGCTACAAGTTATGAATATAGCTTTTATGCTAATATTCATGTAGGAGTGGAGATAGTTATTGCTCAACGAGAGTACAATATAGTGATACACATTCATATGTAATGTGAAATATTGATATTCAATCCAACGTAATAGATAATAACAAAATACAAAGCTACAAGCTTACTTGTAATTAGTACAATATAGAGAAATTTAGCTTGGCCGAAAGGGACACGGCAAGAACTTCAAGTCCTGATACATGCACTTAAAGATAGATTTAAGAAGGCTATGCCTATTAAATATATATTATCCACATTTTCTTATGCCTTTACCCAAAGTTCCTCCCCTTTTCGTGCCATAGTTACTTCAATTAGTAATATGCTACATGCATGATCTATGAATAATCATTTCTAATATTCCATAGAATACAATCATACTTCTGGTATTCATTGGTTCTAGCATAAAATTCACATATCAAGTGCACTATTTAGTGTACAACAACATATTTAGAGTAGGACTTAAACTTCTAGTTTCCGAGCTGAAATATTAAATACTTAGTTTATGGATTATACTATTTCTTGACTAAATTGATCCTTCTAAGATCAGTTAATATACTAGTATAGTTCAATTGTTCATGTGCTTCTAGAAATTCAGTTTCCTTTCTACCTAGGTGATAGTAGCACACAAAGAACTATAACCTTCATAGTTAATTGAGGTTTCTTTGTAGATAAAATTAATGCAAAATTTGTTTAGATAGGCAATAGGCAATTGTTTATATGTAAAACATATAAATCTAATTCATTTCATGTAATATTAACATATATTACTACAAGTAAAAAATTACAACTAAGAACTTCATATTAGTCTTCAAGCTAATAAAGTAACCATTAATTCTTCCCAAGTTTACATAATCCACTTAATTCACTTAATTCAACGGGAATTAAAACTTAAAGCACCACCATCACTACTATCAATACTTCAGGATATGAATTTCAAAAACAACAAATCTATAAGCACATGATTTAAGTTCTTCTTCAAGAGATACTTTAAATATTCTAATTTCTATCCATTCTTACATGTCTTAGCTTCAATGCTTGACATTTAGTAGCTTCATGCTTGCTCGATCCTTCTAGGAGTATAATATATGCAAGTCACATATCCTGATTTATAGAGCTATCTAAAAATTTTGACTTAATTTCTACTTGATATTGAGTAATTCTGGATGGTAGTGGATACTTCTAGTACTTCAATGCTCTTGATCTTCTATTTCAAGAAATATTTATTCTGAAATTAGACAAAATTGTCTTTATCATCTCATCTTCTATGACTTTTAACACAAAGCTTCAAGCTAATTGTATTTATTTATAGAGTAGCATTTGTATCCCATATGGTCATATATGCTTGAAAATTCAATTTCAATATTTCTAACATTATGCAATCATAATATAGGATATCTTCTAGAATTTCTCATGTAGTGAGTCTCATAAGACCTTTAGGATTTAGCTTGGTCACATACTCATTCTTTGAGAGTAATACTAGGAATTACTATGCTTAAGATCTACTCTCACTGTAGTTGTAGAATATCCTACTAGGATTTAATAAGACCATGCTATATAATTTTGTCATTCAGGGCAACTTCAGGATACCCCTTGTTCATGAAGGTATGCATATATCATTATAACTAAATCATGTGCATATAGGTTTACTACGTGTAAACAAGTAGCAAGGTGCAAAAAGATAGTGGAT